TTGTCCCAGAATCATGAGCCAAATAAACCTCTGTTCTTTATAAATTACCCAGTCTCAGGTATTTCTGTTATAGCAGCACAAAACAGACTAATACAAGAGGGTTAGAACTTTCATTCCCATCCCAGCCTCTGGGGAGGGAAGAGGGACTGGAGGTTGAGTTCAGTCATCGATGGCCAGTGACTTAATCAATCATGCCTATGTAGTGAAACCTCAATAAAAAAAACTTCAGAACAACGAGTTCTGGGTGAGCATCTGGGTTGGTGACCATATTGCTGTGCTGGGATGGTGCTGTACTAGAAAGGGTATGGAAGCTCTGTGTCCTCCACCCCCTGAACCTTGCCCTATGAATCTCTTCCATTTGGCTGTTCCTGAGTTGTAACTTTTATAGTAAAACTGTAATCTTAATTATAGTGCTTTCCTGAATTCTGTGAGTCATTCTGTCAAATTATTGAACCTAAGGAGGGGGACATTATAACTCCTGGATTGGTAGTCATCCTGAAAGAAGGATCCTGGGATCCCATTGTGGCCAGTGTCTGAAGTGGGGGCAGTCTTGTGGGATTGAGCCTTTACCATGCAGGGTCTGTGCTAACTCCAGATACTTAGAGTCAGAATTGAACTGGATTGTAGGACACCCAGCTGGTGTCAGAGAATTGGAGAATTGGTTATTATTATTTGGAAAACCAAACAAAGTCTCAACATTAACATTTGTGGTATTCCTGCCAAAAGGGCCTAGATTGAATCTACTCATGAAGAACATTCTGCAAAATACCTGATCTGTACCCTTCAAAAATATCTAAGCTAAGAAAGATAAAGAAATGCTGAGAAATTGTTCCAGACTGAAAGGAGGCTAAAGAGACATGCCAACTATGTGTGATATGTGATCCTGGATTAGATCCTGGATCAGGGGGAAAAAATAACCATAAAGATTATTAATGAGACAATTGACAAAATTTTGACTATGGACTGTTAAATAGTAGTATTGTATCAGATTAGACAATAGCATTGTATCGATGTAAAATGTCCTGATTTTCATAATTTTATTATGGCTGTGTAAAAGAATATTCTTATTAGAAAATATATACTGAAATATTTAGTAGAAATATGTCTCCAAGTTATTAAATGGTTCAGAAAAATAATACGCATATACTCATATTACATGGATTATACATAGAGAGAAAACAAGAGGAAATGATAAAGCAAATGGGGCAAGAGATAACTGGAGAATCTGGGTAAAGGGTAAATGGAAGTTTCTTATACTGTTCTTACAAGTTTTCTGTGAGTTTGAAATTATATAAAATAAAAATAATAGAAAACAAAAAAAGGAAAGAACACAGAGGACTTGTCAAATTATAAGGCTGGTTTTCTTCCACAGAGTGGCATTTTTAAGATAATGGCCTAAAAGTGATTAGAACGTTGAACGAGCACAGACACAGCCATTCTGAAACTGTCTCCTAGGGCACAATTACGCCATGAGAGATTAGTAGATTTATTTATATTAAGACAGTTGCTATTGTTTTTTTTTTCTTCTAAAATCCATTTTGGAAACAATTTTACTCATAACAAATTCACTTGGGAGAATTTATAGTTCTTTAGGAATATATGAAGTAAGATCTGCAGGGTGAGAGAAGGTGAAAGTGTGCTTCTCTGGAGAAAGAAAGAAAGGGAGGGATAATAAAGTGGCAGTGGGAGGAATATCAACAACATGGTGTAGGCCACACAAGTGGCAATGTGACCCTTCCCCAATACCTTCCAAGTGTTCTCTCTAGACAGCATGGTACACATGGAATGGCTGTCTGGTGGAAGCAGGAGAAGAGTCTGAGTTGACTTGGGAGAAACAGGTGTTTTGACAATGTACATCCTTAAGACACAGGAAGTCTTGGGGAGGCTAAGATTTTACTGGGACATGGAACAGGGGTTCAAGGCAATCCAGCATAGGTATTGGATTATATCTAGTTTTTATACATAATGAAAACACCAAACACATTTATATAGTTGTTGTAACTATATATCTTCTTCTTATTAATAAGTTAATCTTCTTAATATGTGTTCACACCTTCTCATCTTATTAATAAATGTGTTAATATCTTCTTATTAATAAATGCTGTGCCACATTCAAGGAAGTTGCATGAATGATCGGCTGATGCAGGAGATGATGTGTAACTAAACATCAAAGTACTGTAAGAGCAGCATTGAGCAACTAATCCTTTCACTGGAACCTGTAGTCTAACTGAGAATCACTAGACTCAGTTGTGAATCTTGTGTTATATTTTAAATACATAAATGTTATTTTATTAGTAATAAAATAGTTGAATATTCATATTTGTATCATTTTATATCATTTTCTGTTACAAAGTTTTAAAAAGTGAATCAAATATTCATAATTTCTTACAATTAATTTATCTATGAAATTATTTTTTCTTTTAATTCTTAGCTTCAAAATGAGCATTATTACATTTCATGGCCACCTCTTGATTTTCCACTGCTACATTACAACCTTTAAACTGTTCTGTGGTCAAATAAGCTTAAGAAATACTACTAGAGAATCATTTTTACAGATTCACATTTAAAGAAGTAGGACTCAGAAAACATTAGAATGTGTTTTCATTTGAATATTCTGACTACTTTCACAAAAAGCTATGAGACAGTATTTTGATTAATCATTTTATGGGTGGGGCTGAGTAATGAATAAATTATCCATTAGCCAACTGACTTCCACAGCTAATAACAATGCAAATTAGATCACAGATCAACTCCCACAACTTCTAATGACATTCTTGGGACACAAAATAACTTCTGCAAAGCCACTATGAACACGGATCCAGGGTCCCAAGGGTGAAGCAGCAACGTGAGGAATCCACAGGCTGCGGGGCTTCACGCTGGGAGCAGTGCAAATCAAGGACACTAGCTGGACGGCAGTACAAGAGTTATTACTATTGACTGTAAAACAAAAACTACATTGTTGAAACCTTAAAGATGGTAAGCAGATTAAATAAAATTCATATAAATGAAAAATTCTCCAGACTGGAGACACTCAGGACCATGCAGACAAATGAAGGCTTTCTCAGCAAAGCTGAAGAATATTTATGGTTCTACTGTACTTGGGACTATAGTGCCATTGAAAAGTGGAAACCCAGCTGTCCCCTAAGACTGGAAGGGAATTTTGCAATTTTGGCAGCAATCCTTCAGCTGTGTCCTTAATACCCTTCCTGGAGTCTGTTACAGTGTGATGTTACCACAGAGCTCAAAGAGGTCATGGAGATAGCTCCATAAAGACTGGTCAATTGTTTAAAGAGAATCAGAATTGAATAAATTGCTCATATAGAATGAATTCTGAAAAAATATCTCAGGTTTAACCTACCTGACCTATCATATCCCAAATCCCTCCCATTAGTATTCCTCACCAGGACCATTATTCATTCACCTAACTTCAAGACCTGAGTCATCTCGACTCCTCTTTTCTCCTCACTTCCATCTTCTATTAGCTGCCAAGTTCAGCAGATTGTCTACTTTTCACCTGAAATCCATTCTCTCCTTTTGATCTTTATGGCCAGCGCCCTGGTTCAGGTGCTTACTTCCTCATACTTAGACTAAAATAATCTTCTAGCCTCCCAGCTTCTACTGTAAAATTCATTTTTCTAAAGCAGTTTAAATCATACTGGTCCCTCTTTCAAAACACCTTCAATTACTCCTTATGGCTCTGAATGAATACATATTCCTCAGCCTGGCATTCAACACCTCAGTAATTTCCTGACCCTGCTCCCACAGCTACTGAATGTCTGTCTTGACTATTACCTACATATTTCCCTGTGACTTCTTCAAACTCCTCTTTACATCTGGATCTCCCCAGGTATACATCTCAGTTTATATATATTTAATATATATATCTTTAATATACATATCTTATATATTTCCCAGGGTCCATATCAAACACTGCTTCCTCAAAGAATCTTTTTTCCATCTTTCCAACTAGACGTCATATCCTGCTTCTCTGAAATCTGTCTCATTATCTCTGGCATCTATTATGATCTGCTTTCTATTGCCTTTATCTATAGCATCTATTATTATTTTCATTCATCCAATATTTATTAAGACCTAACTATGAGCCAGGTACTGTATCAGGCACCAGGAATATAGAGGTGAATAAAACAGCTATGACTCTTCAAATTATATAAAGCGAGACAAAATTACCACTGAATTTTTATGGTGTACCACATAGTAGCTAGATGGAAAAACTGCTCTATCAAGGTGCTATAAAATACCTCGTAAACATACAAATTGTCGGTCAATTAAGATGCTTTGTTTAAAAACTGTACTTCTACTAATAAAAAGAATCATTTTAAATGAGAAATTTGAAGATTCTTACAGTATAATATTTAAGTCCATAATTAAAGACCTGGGCATAGCCGCAGCAGAAGTGGAAGAAACATCAAATATCTCCATCAAAATATTTTAGAGCAAAAACTTCCATTTTCTGAAGATATCCAACGTTTGTATGCTTAAAAAAAAAAGCAAGGAAGGAAGAAAAGAAAATCAGACTTTGGTATCAATGGGACTTTGAATGACTGAATATGATTGACTGAAGAAATGAATGAAGGAATGAAAAAAGACCATGGGTTCTTCTTCTTTTTTTTTTTTTTTGGACCTATCATTTTAGAATATCAGTAAAATCCTCAGAAGTTCACACAGAGATAACATAAATAGGGATATGTATAGTTATCGGATAAAAAGATGAGAGAATACAACTATGAGATGAGCTATCTTAAATTATCACGAAGCAGAAAAACAAGAAAAGATTTCTCTCAGGCCCAGATCCTTGACTGAACCAACAATGAAGAAACTAGCATTTGAAAGATGGGAAAATTCTTACTATACATCCCAGTTTTAAATAAGTATGCAAATTATTACATCTCTGATATCCCCACCATTCACAATTGTTGTCCAGTGCCCCAGCCATATTCCGCTCCCACCGCCCGCCTCTGCTCTGATGGTTCCCTATTTACCTCATACGCATCTTTGATGTTCAGCGGCTCACCGAGTGCTGCCACATGTCCCACAATGCCTTTGTTCCATTCTAAGCGGATGCAGTTATTCGAAGCTTCTTCCAGTGTTGAACCTTCAGCAACATCAAAGAGGCGGCTGATGAGAAACTTATCATTGGAGCTGTCCTCACAGACAAGGAACAGGGAATAGCGGTCAGCAGAGATGAGTCCATGGATATGCAAGAAAATTTTGTGACATAAGGCTGTGACATCCAAATGACTAGAAATATCTTTCACTAATTCCAAGAGTCTTGAGCACTGGTCACCTTCATCATTATCAAACCGTGGGGGGGTTAGAGGCATCTGTTCCTTCTTTTCTGAGTCAGAAAGGAAGCTCACAGTTCCCTCAGAATCCTTGACAACAATGGGTCTAAGAGGCCGGTCAAATTCAGAGGCGGAGATCTTCCTGGTTGGTGTTGCAGGGGCACTGTTATCTGACCGAGGACTCTGCTGCAAGGGGCAAGAGCAAGATTCAGTGTGGCTTCTGATGCCTTCCTTGCACGCAGGGATGGTGTGAACTCTCTCAGCAAACCATGCATTGACCATTTCTCTGCAGAACACAACATATACACATGTTAGAAATTTGAGGAGGAATGGTGCTACCCCTGAAAGCTGCTAAAGATCTCTCGAGGTAAATCGATTGGATAATCATTTGATTTGTCATAGGAAATAAATACAAGGCTGTTTATTTAAGACAGACAATTTTATTCTGAAAAACCATACATGGCAACTGTTGCAATGAATACCTTAAAGCCTGACTTCTACATATATAATTTTAGATATCTGATTTGCAACATATCAAGCATCAAGTCTGCTTCTCTCAAAATTAGTTCATAGTAAAGTGAAAGACACTAAACTTGACAAAAGTGTTAGGAAAACATAAATACAGAAGATAATCTAACGTTTAAAACACACAACTTTTTCTGAAGTTAAATATTTGAAAATTAAAAACCAATATTTATCTAAATTTGGCTTGCTAATATCCATAATTTTGGATAGTTACATCCATAGTGCAAAAATAGATCAGATTTAAAGGGGAAATGGAAAATATAAATAATTTAATCTACTGTGGAGAAAAAATATAGACTTCTACAAATATTATCCCCAAAATACTTACTCGATAATGGCAAAAATGGATGTCTTCTAGATTATTTACCCTTTGTGTAAAGGAAGAAAATTTAAAAGCAGACATTACCTAAGTTAAAAAATGCAGCCCAAGAAAACTGAAGTTATTTATGTTTTTAATGTACCCTGCTGTTAAAAACAAAAAATAAAAAACAAAAACCTATTTTGAGCTAAAGCCTTCACAGTGGGTGATTTTTTAAACAAACATGCCAGATCATATACAATCCAAATAAGTGTTGTTCAATTCAAATAATTCCCCTTAGAAAGGAATCTTATACCAATTAATAATCTTATACCAATTAATAGTGCCATTACTTTAGACATTTTTGGAACTCTTCTTTTAAAATGAACTTCTGAAACAAATTATAATCCAAACAAGTATACTAGTTCCATTTAAAATTCAGATCTTATTTTTCACTAACCCCTCTTCCTCTCAAAAGGAACAAACAAATAAATAAGACAAAAAACATAAAAATCTAGGGTAACAGCTAACTTAATTATCCATCTTTTGATAAGACTTGCCTTTTTCCTTCAAATTTACCTTCAAAAGACAAAAACTTGCTACCACTAGCAAATTTAAAAGAATTTGCCTATAATAAGAGCAATGCAATCTCCAACCTGCAATGACATAATTGATGGTTTTCACCAAACAACTAACCAGGATAAGAAAAGTTTGACGATGTACTATTTTGGAGAGAATATAGGAATATACATAGACAGTCTTCAATCTTTTTGGCTGTCGTAAAAATTGATATCACCTCTTTGGAGGGCAAGCAGATAATGCATAGCAATTTTTAAAATGCATCTATCCTTCGTTCCAGAGATTTTACACATGTGGCAAAAGAAATAGAAGGGTATTTACTGCAGTACTCTTTGTTATAGCAAAGACAGAAGTAACTTAATACCACCAGTAGAAGGCTGACTAAATACATCATGGCACATTTATACAACAGAACACTAGGCAGACATTAAAAACTGGTTATATGTACTGATATGAATAATCTCCACAATTTATTAAGTGAAAAAAGAAGATGCAAAAGAGGAAAAGAAATTGCTTTATTTCTTAGTCTGTAAGCCTTTCATGTGTGGGATGTTCTCTTCATTATTTTATTTTGAACAATGGCGCATTATTTCTTAAATATATACTTACCCTGAAATGATAGGAGTCTTGAATAAACTGAGTTAAAATAAAAAGACAACAAAGATTTTACCTCATAATTTCAAGTGTTAGATACAGTTATAAAAGCCTTTAAATTTCCCTATATCTCTGTAAAAAGTGCGGTCAAAGGATACAAAATTTCAATTAGAGAAGAGAAATGAGTTCAAGAAATCCATTACACAAAGTGGTGACTATAGTTAATAACAATGTACTATATACTTGAAAATTGCTAAGACAGTAGATCTTAAGTGTTTTCACTTCAAAAAAAAAAGTAAGTATATGAGGTGACATATGTTAATTAGCTTGATTTAAGCAGTCTACAATGTATACATATATCAAAAAATAATGCTGTACACCAAAATATATACAATTTTTGTCAGTTAAAAAGTAAATTTCAAAAAATCCAATACATATTTTAAAAATAGCCTCACTGGTATTATGAATTGACTTACTTTATAATAAAGGTCTTACAAATATGAACTAAGAAGGAAAAAAGTGAAGTAGTAGGTATGTATATTGTACAGATCATGAGCACATATACAGATTTTTTAACGATTTAATTATCCTAATATTTAATAAATGCTCACTGTGGCCTAGGACAAAATTTCCAGTGAGGACAACATACACTGATTAAAACAATGCTGTATCTCAAAAACTTAGACAGAAATGAGGGTGACATGTTCTGGGAAATGTTTATTTAACTCCCAAAATTTGACTAATAGTGCCAAAGCCACTGATGTTAAAAATGCATGTGAAGCAGTCAAAAATGTAGAGGAAGCTTTTGAATAAAACTGTTTTGTAAAATGTAAGATAGGAAAAAAATCAATACATCTAAATTCACGTATCTGGTGTAATTTTAAATATGAACATTTAACTAAGTTGTTCAATCAGTATAAAAACAGGCATTTTAACTATTTCAGCTACAATCCTAAAACTTAGCCCTAACTTATTTCTTATCTTCTTACTGGAAAATGGAGATGTTCCTTTTAAATTTTTTAATCAAACCGTCCACTTGACAACTCCATGTGAATGTCTAAATACACTACAGAAAACAGTGAAAACAGAATTCCGAATGCCCAACACCTTGCTCCAATCTCCCCCTCTGACAGTTTTCCTCATATTAATAAACAGCACCATCACCTCCCCAGTTACTCAAACCAGACATCTAGAAATCACTCTAAATTTCTATTTCCTTCAACTTCACATTGAGCCAAGCCGTAAAACTTCTGTCACCTTGATTTCCAAAACCCTGCCTGTATCCCAATCTGTCCAACCATCTCCATTACTACCACCACCCTGGTCCAAGCCCTGCAGTCTCTCACCTGGACTAAGGCCATAGCTCCCTAACTGGTCTCTTAGATGTTATACTTGCCCCTTTTAATCCATTCTCCACACAGCAGCCACAGTAATCTTTTAACAAATAAATCCTAACATCTTAACCACCTTACTTGGCGTCTTACTGAACTGAGAATAAAACCTGAACTGCTGTAATCCCCTTCCACACAAGTTCCTCTCGCCTCGTTGGCCTCCTTGGGCTCTTCAAGCACACCAAGTTCTAACTGGCTCCTGTCTGGAACACTCTCCCCTCACCTGCGCATGGCTGGTCAGCTTCTACAACCCCTGCTCAGACAGGTCTTCCCTGATCACTCTACCTAAAGTGGCCTCAACATATCGTGTTCTCCCCACACTCTACCTGAATGCTCACCACCTGCTACTTTACTTGTTTGTCAGTCTGTAGGTATACTGTCTGTCTCCTCTGACTTGTAAATTCCACCAGAGCTACTTGTCTGCCTTGCTCACTGCTGCATCTCCTGCACTTAGATCCATGACTATCACATAATAGGTCCTCAATAAGTATTTATTGAGTGAAGCGAATGAATGAATAGATGAAGGCTCTTAAAGCATCAAAAGGGTCAACAGTCTTTTACATATCTGAATGCTGGTATATTTGTTACAGAAAATCAACATTGTGTTGCCTCAGATGTAAGCCTCAAAACTGACCATGGCTAATTTATCCTCATATACCCTGCAGTGCCTAGTGTATCTCTTAAGCAAAGTCAGTGCTTAAAAATTCTGTTATGTTTTTGATTACTGTATTTAATTGTCTCATAAGTGTTTTATCTCTAGATATTTTCATGGAGCAATTAATGCAATATTAAACGACACAGGAAAAGATCTCCTGAAATGAAATTTGGTCATTCAATCAACAATCCTCATTAACCACCAGTAACTGGGGGGAAGGGGAGTTCTCATGATCACATTATTAACTATCTGAGTCCCTGTAATTACATGCTTGCATAGGAAGACATATGTTACCATAACCTCAAAACAATCACTTATGAACCAACCAAACTGTTAACTTTAATTTGATACAATTAAATCATCTCTCACACACTTCTCTTTCTTCAGGCATCCCAGTAAGTCTTATAGTGCATGACCTACATGGCTGCTATGAAGTGGGCCTTTCCCCTTAAGACTACTATCTATCTTCTTCTGTTGATTTTTTTTTTTTTTTTTTTTTTTTTTTTTTTTTTTTTTTTTTCTTTTTTTTGTTTTTTCGTGTCCGGCAACGGATTGCCACCTTCAGTGTTGCCCCCGTACCAGGCCGGGGACCGGCAACGGGATTGCAACCCTCGGGGTTGCTCCCGCGCCTCGCTCAGCCAGTGAGCGGGAACCGGTCTGTATGTGGGATCCGACCCCTCGGGCGGGAGTGCCGCCGCGCTTCCCAAGCGGCGCCCTATCCCGTGCGCCACCGGGCTGGCCCCTTCTGTTGATTTTTTTTTTTTTTTTGTCTTTTTTGTGTTTTTCCGTGTCCGGCAACGGATTGCCACCTTCAGTGTTGCCCCCGTACCAGGCCGGGGACCGGCAACGGGATTGCAACCCTCGGGGTTGCTCCCGCGCCTCGCTCAGCCAGTGAGCGGGAACCGGTCTGTATGTGGGATCCGAACCCTCGGGCGGGAGTGCCGCCGCGCTTCCCAAGCGGCGCACTATCCAGTGCGCCACCGGGCTGGCCCCTTCTGTTGATTTTTTAATACTTCAGCCTCTATGCAAATACAAATAACCTGCAAATTCAAATTAAAATTCTTTTCAAAGATATATGCTATAGTCTGAATGTATGTGTCGTCCCAAAATTCATATGTTGAAACCTAACCCCATGGTGATGGTATTAAGAGAAGGGGTCTTTGGGAGGGCTCTGTACTCATGAATAGATTAGTGCCCTCATAAAAGGAGCCTGACCTTCCGCCACGTGAGGACACATTAAAGGC